TTTTTCAGAAGTGCTTTCAATCATAGCATCTCTATTCATTTAATATAATTCTGAAGAAATTTGCTGCATTACCTACAAGTAATAATATAAATTCCAAAACAATTCTTATAATAAATAAATTGAGTTTTATTTTCTGCTTTTTAAATAAATTTCATAGATTCTCATATTTGAAAGCTATCATAATCTTTCATATATTTATTATCATCTTCTAAATTACTTATTCTTTTATTTTATTAACTATTTTAAATCTGTCTATGTCATTAATTAAACTGTTAATTTTCTTTCTAATATAATGAATTTATCCTTCACATCATTTAAAGTTTATTTCTTTTATTCAAATTGAGTTTGTAAATTTGTAAATATTTTATCTTAAAAAAATTTTTCACCTTAAATTTCTTTTAACAAAGTTACCTTTTTTTAATTAATTATATATTCTCCTCTCAAAAATTCCACTTTTTATTTTACTCTTCTACTGAGTGATTTAGTCTATTTATGCAAGTGCTTGTGTATAATAATTCAATGATTGATAATAATATGACCTAAAATAATAAAGATCAGCTAAATTCACCATTATAAGTGGATTGTCTAATTCTAATTTAAGTGCTTAAATACAATCTTAAAAGGCCTTGTCATATTAGCCATTTACTTTAAACAAATTTGCTTTTTTAATTATAATTAAAATTACCTCTTTTTTATAAGTTTTAGCATCATTTGAGTTCAATTCAATTGTTTTAGTATAATCTTTAAATGCTAAATCAAATTTCTTCATATATCTATAAAACAATCCTATTTAGTTCAACATCTTAATTACCTCTAGCATCTTTAGGATCCAATTAATAGCTGTGTTATGATCGATTATGGCTTAATCTTTATTTTCTAAGCTTAAATGCAATAATGCTATAATAACCTTAACCCTAATTACCTCTTGAACTGTAAATTTAAGCAATATTAGAATCTAATACAATTGCTGTGTTATAATCTTCAAGAGCCTTCATTTTTTTTCCATTATTTTAATCGAGCATTCCTATATATTCTAACACTTATGACCTCTGCTATTATAAGTATAATCATCATTAGAATTTAATTCAATTGATTTGTTATAATTGATAAGTAAAATGTCTGTGTTTCCGATTTTATATTATAAAAGGCCTATTTCATTCTACTAATCTTAACACTTCTTCTATTTTATATGCTTTAGATTTATTGGAATCTCATTCCATCGCTTTATCATAATCTACGAGTGCCTATTGTTCATTATCTATGCCTTCACAGAGATATCTAATCAAAAATAATACTTTGTTTGCCTCTATCGAAATAAAAATCAGAACAATTAGCATCTACTTCAATTCCCTTGTTAAAGTTTCTAAGTGCCTAATTAGTATTTCCAATTTTTAGTAAATAAAAGTCCTATTTAACTTAATAATTTAATACATCTCTTTTATTATAAAAACAAGCCACATTTGGGTCTAATTCAATCTAAAAGTGCCTCCTCTTAATCTCCTATTTGATCTAAAAAATTTCCTATTCATTAAATAACCCGAGAACCTCTGCTCATGTATGCAAAAGTATATTATATATCCAACTCAAGCTTGTTTATAATCTGAAAATGTTTCATCTTTATTTCCTTGCTCTAAAACAACTAAATGAATATAATTTAAAATAAATCCTATTTATTTATTATTAATCTCTTAAACTACTATAACCAAATATCTTAGAAAAAAATTACTGATGAGAGGGTTACAATTAATATATTAAAATTATAATAATTCCTAAGAAGATTCATATATTATTATCCAGCTAAGATTAAGAATTAAACCTAGAATATTTCAATATGATTATCTCTATCGATTATTAAATTCATTAGATTTTTTTAGAGTTGCCATAATTTTTGTTAAGTTATTTGATTAATAAAGTTTAATTGATTTTCTGAAGAAAAATATTAAAGAAAAGTTAATTAATAATATATATGTATTAAAGATGATTATTATAAATATACCATAATAATGTAGAATTTGAAATATTTACATCAACTATGTAATTAATAATTGAATTATCCGATTATATTTTACTTCATTCTGGTGGTTTTTCTCTTCTTCATGAAATACTGACGAATTAACTTCTTCATAATCTGCTAATTCCTCTCAGGCTTCGCAAAATTAGTTTTACTCCACCCTTTAGTTAATATATTAAATGGCCTAAAAAATTCTATTTTTTGGTTTTTGTTTGACTTAGGCTTAATAGCCTCAAAACAATTAACTTACATTCTTAGAGGATTCCAATCTATAAACAATTAATTTACATTGAATAAATAAATTTATTGACATCAAAATTATGAGACAAGAAATTTAATCAAGTCAAAATACTTTTTCAAATTGGTAATATTATCATTCTCCTAAATATGGAACTGCTTTAATATAACCTTATAATGTAATTTTGCCAAATTATAATTTATAAGAGTTTGCAGACTTTTCATTCTTTTAGAAAACTAAACCATTTATGAAATTTTTAATAAGATTCTTGATATTGAATATTCTAGGTGTACCAATTTAAAAAGACTTACAGCATAAGTATACTTCACTATTTTGAGATATTTCTAAATTTAAACTAATCTAGTTCCACATCCTCGTTATTATATTTTATTTTCTTACTCTCCTATTTTATCAAATTAGAAAACTTATTTTGACTAACGAAAAATTTTATGATATTTCAATTTAAGCATTTGAATCATAAAATATGATGTTTAGATGTAATGGTATATAAGGAAGATTTATGGTTTGTTTAATATTATTTAAAGGAAATGTCATTCCAAGGGATGTTCCTTCATCAGTTTTTGAATTAAATGGCAAAAAACAATTTAATTTGTTTATAAGTACTCCACTAAGTTTAAAGAAGGTATTACTTACAAAGGTCACTGCATAATTTTAGATCTAGAAATAGCAAATTTTGTCCTATAAACCTGCATGATTTCCAATACAATAGCTATTTATGATATTTTCCTAAAATTCACAAAAAAGTTTTGATTAAATGTTTGCTAATCGAGCTTTTGATCATTGGTATTGAAGCTTAAATATTGATTCCAATTCTAATTTACTTCGAGAGGGCTTACTCTTTATAAATTTGTTTATTTGTAATTCAAACAAAAAATATTGATTATACTGACTTGATTAGATTAACAATGATTTGGTTTTAGGTCGGGCAAAGTGGTTGTTTAATTTATATTTAATTACTTTATAGATGAAAGAATACGTATTTAGATGTATGAGTCATCCTAAAGCACTGCAAAATGATTTATAATTAGAAGAGAAATCTTTTATTTATAGAAAATGGTTACAGTCTAAGTTAGACTTAGGAATAGAAGAGTAATTATAGAACAACTGTATAATGTAAAAATAAGTAAGTTAAATTCAGTGCCATAAANAAAAAATTCTATTTTTTGGTTTTTGTTTGACTTAGGCTTAATAGCCTCAAAACAATTAACTTACATTCTTAGAGGATTCCAATCTATAAACAATTAATTTACATTGAATAAATAAATTTATTGACATCAAAATTATGAGACAAGAAATTTAATCAAGTCAAAATACTTTTTCAAATTGGTAATATTATCATTCTCCTAAATATGGAACTGCTTTAATATAACCTTATAATGTAATTTTGCCAAATTATAATTTATAAGAGTTTGCAGACTTTTCATTCTTTTAGAAAACTAAACCATTTATGAAATTTTTAATAAGATTCTTGATATTGAATATTCTAGGTGTACCAATTTAAAAAGACTTACAGCATAAGTATACTTCACTATTTTGAGATATTTCTAAATTTAAACTAATCTAGTTCCACATCCTCGTTATTATATTTTATTTTCTTACTCTCCTATTTTATCAAATTAGAAAACTTATTTTGACTAACGAAAAATTTTATGATATTTCAATTTAAGCATTTGAATCATAAAATATGATGTTTAGATGTAATGGTATATAAGGAAGATTTATGGTTTGTTTAATATTATTTAAAGGAAATGTCATTCCAAGGGATGTTCCTTCATCAGTTTTTGAATTAAATGGCAAAAAACAATTTAATTTGTTTATAAGTACTCCACTAAGTTTAAAGAAGGTATTACTTACAAAGGTCACTGCATAATTTTAGATCTAGAAATAGCAAATTTTGTCCTATAAACCTGCATGATTTCCAATACAATAGCTATTTATGATATTTTCCTAAAATTCACAAAAAAGTTTTGATTAAATGTTTGCTAATCGAGCTTTTGATCATTGGTATTGAAGCTTAAATATTGATTCCAATTCTAATTTACTTCGAGAGGGCTTACTCTTTATAAATTTGTTTATTTGTAATTCAAACAAAAAATATTGATTATACTGACTTGATTAGATTAACAATGATTTGGTTTTAGGTCGGGCAAAGTGGTTGTTTAATTTATATTTAATTACTTTATAGATGAAAGAATACGTATTTAGATGTATGAGTCATCCTAAAGCACTGCAAAATGATTTATAATTAGAAGAGAAATCTTTTATTTATAGAAAATGGTTACAGTCTAAGTTAGACTTAGGAATAGAAGAGTAATTATAGAACAACTGTATAATGTAAAAATAAGTAAGTTAAATTCAGTGCCATAAATAAATAAAATTATGAAGATTGCAATAAGATTCATAATAATCTAAAGTATTAGGGAATATAGTTTAGTTGTGTATAAAGTAATAAGTTATGAAAATTAATAAATCTTGATGACATTAATGAGTTTGGAACTTGATCTAGTTTAAAAATCAGGATATATATATATAATAAGGGAAATGTTAAATATGTTGTGACAGAAGATAATTAAAACAGTAAGAGATGACTTATGCTATCTAAAGAAGCATAGCAAAATATTTTCTAGGATCGTATATTAGTTGTAGCTAATCTTCATTTTTTTACTTTAGATAAAAAAATTACAAAAAAATAAATAATTGTGTAATAATTAACAAAGAATTTAGATAAGGAATCTAAATTATTTTATATATCTAAATGTTTATTGTAAGAATAATACTTATAAATATTTAATGAATCACTTGATTTATAAAAGGAGTTATAGATAGAAGCATAGAAACTTAAAGAAAAGGACAGCTTGAAAAATTTATAGAATAGGAAGATGATGAATCTGAACATAAAAAAAATTCGAATATCATTTAATAGTAATTGAAAAAAAATCAAATGAATTCTGAAAAAATAGAGAAATTGATAAAGGCTGAGAATATGAATGCTGATTAAAATTAATGGAAAAGTTAACTCATTAATAATAATATTGAATGATATGTAAAGATAATTTTTCATTGGGATCATTTTTAATTGAAAGCTTCTGTGACTTTATTAGTGCCCCACAAATAAGCATCATTGATGAAGTACAAAATTTATTACATTGTAATAAAAATTCTAGCTAAAAAAGGTTCTAAAACAACAAACTTGTATTTCTAATTAATTGCAGAGAAGTTCATTAAGAGCATTAAACTAAGACTTTAAAAATTTCACTCTAATTGTATAATACCTAAAAAATTTTGGATGTAAATCAGGAGAAATAAAGCGATCATATATTATAAATTCAATCTAAGAATCATACATATGGATTTATCTACGCATAAAATGATAAAAAATAAAATATTAAGAAAGAATTAAAGTTTGCAAAATTTTATTATACTTTTTTAAATTCTCATCATATCAATTTTTATAGTGTTTTCAATTTGCTCATCATAATACATCTCTAGATATTGATAAAAAAATGAAGTTTTGGCTCTTTTAAACTTCAATTTGAATTTTGTTAGTTAACTGAGATTAAAAATATTTAATTTCTATTTAAAGGGGAACTCCTTGTACAGTTTTTCTGATTCTAAAAAGAATAGGAAGGAAATATAGCTGAAAAGAAAAGTGGTATTTATTATGAACTAACTTTTCTAATTTTTTTTTTTTCACTTTTATTTATCCTTTGTATTAAGAAAGATAACATAATACTTATTTCATAAATCCAATATTTTTTACGAGTTTATGAAAAAGCTAAATGTTATAACATCTTTTGTTATTTAACCATAAATCTAAATTAATAATTTTTTTCATTTTATTAATTATTTTAAACAAACTGGAACTTTTTAGTTTGTAGATAAATCAAATATTTAGGTCAAATAAGTAATTAGTTTTACATTTGTTGAAGCTGGGATTTCTAATAATTTAATGCCTTTAATTCGAAGATTTAAAAAAACAATTTTCTTTTATGATAAATTTCTACCTAAATATAATCCTTTTTGGATTTTAATTTTTTTCCATTCTTGATTTAAGAAATTGTATGATTGCTTAGAATTTAAAAAAATAATATCTAATTTATATTAATATCCTATTGATCTCATACTTTATTTTCCAGTAAACTATAACAACATATATATACTTTTTTTAATTTGATTCATTCTTCACCAAATGATAATATATATTATTACCCTAAAATGAAACTAAACTAGTTCAGAAAAATGTAATGTTTTACTATTTGGACAACAATTGCTATTATTTAATGAAATCTATAAATTAAATCAATTGCTAGATATAAAATTTTTGTTTGAAATCAGAATTTGCAGTTTTCACTCCAAAAGCCTCACCATGAATGTTTGAATTAGAAAGATGAACAAAGGAAGTGAAATTTGAGAATGCTAATTTAATAAGGTGTACCTGTCATACCTTTCTGTACTATTTTATAATATAAATTCAACAATATTTTAGTAGTATGTTTAATTCATGTCTGATAATTTGAATATTGGTGCTATACTAAATAATTAGCCAGTATGAATTTTTTTTAATTCTTTAAGAAATAATGGCCTTCCGGTATAAACGATAGATTTAATATTTTTACTTTTATTTAAGAGAAGTGTAACTTTTAATTTTTGATTTAAGCTAATCATCAGTTTCTTTAGATGTCATAAAGTTGTATAAACTATAAATCTAAAGCAATAAAGAATATGTTATTTAGCACAACTATAAGATAAATAATGATGTTTATGATTCAGGCTATTTAATTTACTATAGAAACATTATTGGAATTAAATAAAATATTTACATATTATTAGTATTTTTTTGCACTTTTTTTAATGAATAAATACCAAATTATCCTTAAATCTTTTTTGCTCATCTACCAAGCCCCAAAAAATCATTCTATTCAAGCTGTTCTCATATAAATTGACTCTCCTGAATTATAATTTATTCCTATCATTTGCAATAAATTTAGCTTTGAAATATGAATTTAACAGATATTTATTTAATCTTTTTAAAGATTTTGTCTTAAAACAACTATTAGAAGGGAAAAGATGAAAAAATTGGAAGTTTATAAATGGAATTGATCATTTTTTAAATGATTCTAATAGTCCTATGATTACAATAATAAAGTTTTTAGTTTAAAAAAGCAAGGTCAATTCATTTACAAAGGGAATAAAAAACTTCTTCTTTAGCCAATTCTTCCTTTTATCTTGCTAGTTTGAAATTACTTGAACAAATTGATTTACTAGTTTAATTTTTAGTTTATAGTATTATTAGGTCTTCATTTTATATACATTAATTTTAAAGTAAAAGAAGGAAAGATTAAAAATTCAATTCTCACAAAATATTTTATGACGACTACAAATAACTTCAAAGAATTAATTTTAGTAAAAGTTAAAAAGAATCTAATGGATAATTATAGAAGATAGCTTAAACATTTAACGCCAATTCTAGAAAAATAAATTAATCAAAATAATGAAGGAGTTTACTGATATTAATACATATTTTAGAGAGTGTAAGAACAGAAGGAGCTATTCCATGTTTTCTTAAATCGATATTTTTTAAAACATTGCAATTTTGACTCGATGTTCATTATTCATAGAAAGTTAATAATTTTATTGGTATTTACAATAATTAGCTAAAATAAGAATATTGAATTTATAAATAACAAGAGAATG